CTTCCGTTCAACAGAGCCCATAGATCAACACCATCAACATCATCAACATCATCAACATCATTTACATCATCAACATCATCAACATCATTAACATCATTAACATCATTTACATCATTTACATCATGAACATCATTAACATCATCAACATCATTAAAATCATTTACATCATTTACATCATGAACATAAATGTAAATGTACTTTTCTAGAAGCAAATAAGTTGTAGAAAGTTTTCTTGCTTTAGTCAGCTTTTTTTCTTATAGGTTTGTCAAACTTTCAGAAAATGTGGTAGGAAGTAAATGGAGGGGGGGGTGGTTGTCTACCATAGCACAACGTCTATCGAGTTTGAAAACAAAAATTTGCAAGATTGCAAAAAAAAAAACAATTCAGCCCAATAAAAAAACTGTCAACGTAATTTTAAGTAAATCTTAAAATTGGATTATCTATATTTTAATCTTTGATTTGTCAAAACTTTCTATTTAATGCTCCCCGGGGCTCTTTCATAAAAAAACCTGATAAATTGAATCCTTTCCTCCACTCCATCGAACCAAACTAATAAACAAAAAACATGATTAAATTAAACAAAATGAAGATCATCAATAAATAAAAATAAGAAATAGAAAAAAGCAAAAAGTGAAATAAAAAAGATTTGTAAAAAAAAAGAAAATATATATGTATATATATATTAAATAACTGGCCAAACCGGCTGGACCGAATGGGCTGAATTTTTAAGGAAATACTTTAGTACTCTGGGGTAACATAAACTAAAAAAATTGATTTACTTTTCAAAAATCGAAATTTTTTTTCTCTCAAAAATAGGATTTTTCAAAATTAGTCTTTTTTATTCAACGGGCAACGCCCGACACTTCAACTAGTTTTAAAAAAATAAGAAATAGAAAAAAGTAAAATAAAAAAGATTTGTAAAAAAGAGAAAAATTTCCAACCTGAGAAAATGATCAAATATATTTGTATTCACAACGTTAAACTTAGTTTCTCTTTTAGGTTTCATCCCTTCAACTCTCACAACTTATACATTCTTCATCACGAAAAATATCAAGAGAAATATCAGGAGAAATATTAAGAGAAATATCAAGAGAAATATCAATAGAAATATCAAAAGAAATACCAGGAGAAATATCAAGAGAAAAATTAAGAGAAATATTACGCGAAAATATCAAAAACTTTTGACGTAAAAATTAGTTTTAAAAAATAATGAAAATATGTCACCGATGTTTTTTTAGAAATAAAACAGTTTTTAACAATTTGGATTTCAATCTCCAAAATCTTAAATGTAGGGTTTTGTATTTAGAGAAATGAAGGAAGTACAGTGATAACCAGAAAACTCTAGAATAGGAATCATCGACTTTAAAACTTAAGTTATGACTTTTCAAATAGTCAAATGAACACGAGACACAGCAATTGTGCAGTGTAAGCAGACCTATTTCATTTAATAAGTGATTTGATACCTTACTAGTAAAGTTATTTGTTTGTGACATTATTAAATGCACTTCAGTTTTGCTTATAAGTCTTTTTTATTTTTCTGGTTATTTTGAATACTGTATAAGCTATAAAACCTCCCTTCATTCTTGAACTAGAAAATTCATTTCGAGTCTGGTGGGTGGATAGTAGGACTCCCTAACACTGATTTGATTTGAGCTACATTTTTCTGGTTTTCACTGAAAGCGCATTGTTTAAACTTTGATAGATTTTAAAAGAACATTTTTTAATAACTCTAGAATAAAGACTGCCTAGAAGTGAGTTGGGTTTTATAGTCTTCAAATATTCATCGTCTTCCACCTCTGTTCCATCGTCTATAAGGTGTTTTATAAGGTATTTTCACAAATGGCAACTTCCCAAATGTGCAATTTCCCAAGCGGCAACTTCCTAAAGGTTAGGTTAGGCCTTCTGAGGCCTCGCAGGCTGCAATTAAGGCCGAGCACTGCAGCTAGGATGGGCTAGAGGGCCGAGCTCTGCGGCTAGAACATGCTAGGGGGGCGAGCTCTGTAGCTAGAACATGCTAGGGGGTCGTAGACTTGGGAAGTTGCTCCTTGGGAAGTTGCTACTTGGGAAAAAACATTTGGGAATGTACCTAACATCGTCTATACAACAATATATGTTTACAGTTTTGAAATGGAAGGTTTACAGTTTTGAAATTGAAGGTTTATAGTTTTGAAATTGAAGGTTTATAGTTTTGAAATTAAAGGTTTACAGTTTTGAAATGGAGGATTTATAGTTTTGAAATAAAAGGTTTACAGTTTTGAAATGGAAGGTTTATAGTTTTGAAATTAAAGGTTTATAGTTTTGAAATTAAATGTTTACAGTTCGTTGCCTCGCTGAGCAAGTATAAAAATACCTAAAAATATATTCAGCTTTTCAGGTTTTTGCTTTAACTGAAATCGATCTTTCGTCTTCGCTCGAAGATCCAAAAGATTCTCGGCAAAAATACCCTTTCTGCGCTCCACATGATGTTCCAAAGCTACCCTGCAAAAACATTCATTTTATTTTTTTTAAATTGAAATTATGGAAGTAAAAATAATGTGAACTAAAACGCCGTGCCGTTTTTTCATTAAACACAAATAAAAGGTTTCCACTAAAACAAATATAGAAGCTTGTCCATATTAATCTATTTTTTATATATATTTAGATAATTAACGCTTTAAACACTAAACAAGAATACTTTGCATCCTTCTAGTAATAATTTTGGATGTTTCTTTATTGATTGTTTACATGTTAAGACAAAAACAACAAACTCTGCAGACTTCACTGTTTTCAAATTGTTTGATTTATTCTAAAAAATTGTTTGAAATATTTTAGATTCTTTATTTTGCTATACTTTGAGAAGCAACATTTTGCAAATGTCAAATATCAAATAACGTCAAATAATATTTTTTTCATTACGAAATTAAAACATTAGTTTGCTTTACAGTAATATTTTCACCCATTGTAATGCACAAAATGCCAGAAAAAGTTCTTTTAACTGTCTAAATGCATGTCTAGCTCGACAAAATAAAAATGGTTCAAAAATTTTTATCATGAGTTAAGACGTTTTTTTTTCTCTTGAACTTGGTGTTTTATACCTTGACCTTTCAAAACTTGATGTTAAAAAATTTGACAATTTGAAGAAAATCCTTCCCCCTTGGCCCTAGACGATCTTAAACATGATTTTTTTTATTTTTTTATTGGTCTCAAGCATAGCGAGGAGTCCTAATTGATCTTAGAAAGATATAGGATATAACAAAAATATCTACCTGTATCCCTGTCCAACTGTAGATTTAAAAAACATTTTTTCTGAAAATATTAACTTAATATTGATAAATTTTCATTTTATTTTTTTAATATATATTGCTGGTTCATGAGTGTTTTGTACATTGTGCAAGAACATTGTACATTAAATATTTGGTACATAATATATTAGACAAATTAATAACAGTACGAAACAGTACATAAGCTAAAAAATCAACATGATTTCAAGAAATGCTAGAGAAAAAAAGCTGACTTTTATCTTAGCGTCCTAAAACGTTTACGTGCGGGGGGGGGGCTTAAAGGAACAGTCTCAGTAATTTGAAGTTACCAACTATTGAAATTTCCCAACAGTACCCTGATCATGGTTGATGAAGATGACGTCGTTTGTTGGTTCGAGGAAGGTTAAATTCCGATTATTTCTTGGTTGTTTCAGAAACAACAACATGGATATCTAATTCAAACTTTAAACTTCAAAAGCATTGAACGAGGGTAACTTGAAATTACGTTTACAGTCCCTTTAAGAACTTTATCCAATTTTTCTATCTTAATCTCAACAATTTTACTGAATAATTTTACTAATAAAATATATTTAATGACAAATTTGTGCGAAAATTGTGATGCAAAATCAAAACGGGGGTTAAAAATCTTGTCAAGCTTTTTTAGTCGCAATACTGATGGATTTATATAAATAACAGTTAGATATTAATTAATAACACATAAAATCACAAGGGTATGTAATAGTAAAGCAAGTTATGTCTTTTTTAAGTATTTTTGCAGACATGGAATTTTTTTTATAAAATATGAACATTTTTCACTGTGTGTGTGTGTGCAATTAAAAATTAGTTATATAAATTCATGGTTATAATGCAAGGAAAGTTAATTGTAGTTGCGTATACTCTGCGTACATATTGAAAACAATTCTCTCTGCGCGGAATTTGTAAACAAGAATAGATGCATCAGTGTTCGTTTAGTATCCGAGTAGGTTAAAAGCTTCAAATTTTGATAATAAACATAATAGTTTCCTATGACCAGAATATTTCATTGATTCCAGAGACTGCAGTACAAAAGATGCGTACACCTCTGAAATAACTTTCCTTGCATTATAACCTTGTTCAGATTAAAATATCGGTATTAAAACTTTTAACCTTTCAAGTACAATTATTAGTAAAATGTTGAAACACAAGCAAATATTAGTTAAAGTTACACGTGCAAATATGAGTTAAAGTTACACAAGAATACAAATTTTCTGTTTAAATACATCAAAAATTAAATGAAAATTTTGGTGAAAATTTAATAAATACTGGTATAGCTTTGTTGAATGATTTTCAAATTAAACTTTTTTAATCTAGTCTTAAAATTTTCCTTCTTATGAACGAGTATTTTTGACAATAAGAAATGGAAATGTTGTTTTCTCTAAACTGTAAATGCATTATGCAATGTTTCTTTGTAAATTCCATATTTTTCATTATGTAAGACTAAATTCATAATATTCAGGTTTGCAAGGCACATTAAATTTAATGACTTAAGGCAAATTAATTTTGAAAGATAAGTGTAAAAGAGACCTGTATCATGACAACGTTCTTAGATTACAGTTTCTTACAGATCTTATTAATATGAGTTTTGTGTACAATGCACAATGTACAATGTGCAATATAAAATGTGCAATGTACAACCTACAATGTACAATTCACAATGTACAATGCACAATGTACAATGCACAATGTACAATGCACAATGTACAATGCACAATGTACTATCCACGATGTACAATGCACAATGTACATTACAATGCACAATGAACAATGCACAATGTACAAACAATGCACAATGTACAATGTACAATGTGCAATATACAATGTACAATGTGCAATGTACCACCTACAATGTAAAATGTACAATGCACAATGTAAAATGTACAATGCACAATGCACAATGCACAATTTACAATGTGCAATGTAGAATGTACGATGTTCAATGTACATGCACTTTACAAATGGCAGAACTGCAACATTACCAAAGAAGACCATTATTCCATCTGTGGAGATCACGTTTGCATTATTCGAATAACTAGATCTGTGAAATTGTCTAACCCTTTTATTTATGAAACTTAATATTTTTTAAATCAAGTTACGTAACTTTAGATTGGCTTATCTCACTTTCTAAAAATTTTTCCATTCTAACCCGTACTTATCCGTTTCAATGGTCACCTACTCCAGGTCTAGTTGTTTCAAAGCTTAATAAATCATAAGTTGAAACGGATTGGAATTTATATTCATTCATTTTCACAATTCATCCTTTCTGGATATTGAGTTAAATTTGAAAGTTAAATATTAATTTTCAGAGAAGAATAAAGAAAATTCAGCTGATCGTGGGTTGAGGAATGTATAAAGTAAGTTTCCCAAAATTCTTTTTAAATATCAAATAAAATATAAAGCTTACCAATTCTTTAATTTTCATTTTATAAGCAACGGCTGTACACTTTTTTAACTAAATGTTTTGGTTCTGAATTCAGATTTGATGAACAGCAAGAAATAGTTCAGCTAAGTATGGACGTCAGGTTGAACGGCCTCTCTTGTCCACTATTGAAGTAAGTAGTTAAACTTTCCGTGCCTAACCTAACTACTTAATGCTATTCATTAATTTTCTCTGGTAGAGGAATTGAATCTTTGTCACAAACTCAAATGTTCTAATTCTTTTATCTTAGGAAACCATTGACATTTTATAATAAAATTCATTGATCTAACTGTATTCATAGTTTGAATCATCTAAGGCCTGCAAAATTAGGTTGAAAAGATAATGGGATTAAAAACCAGAGTTTGTGGCAAACGCTCAATTCCTATGTTTCTTTTATCGTTGGTAGTGTCCAGAGTATTGATGTTTATACTGTTGGTAGAGTCCAGAGTATTGATGTTTATACTGTTGGTAGAGTCCAGAGTATTGATGTTTATACTGTTGGTAGAGTCCAGAGTATTGATGTTTATATTGTTGGTAGAGTCCAGAGTATTGATGTTTATACTGTTGGTAGAGTCCAGAGTGTTGATGTTTATACTGTTGGTAGAGTCCAGAGTATTGATGTTTATACTGTTGGTAGAGTCCAGAGTATTGATGTTTATATTGTTGGTAGAGTCCAGAGTATTGATGTTTATACTGTTGGTAGAGTCCAGAGTATTGATGTTTATACTGTTGGTAGAGTCCAGAGTATTGATGTTTATACTGTTGGTAGAGTCAAGAGAATTGATGTTTATATTGTTGGTAGAGTCCAGAGTATTGATGTTTATACTGATGGTAGAGTCCAGAGTATTGATGTTTATATTGTTGGTAGAGTCCAGAGTGTTGATGTTTATACTGTTGGTAGAGTCCAGAGTGTTGATGTTTATACTGTTGGTAGAGTCCAGAGTGTTGATGTTTATATCCAGAGTGTTGATGTTTATATTGTTGGTAGAGTCCAGAGTATTGATGTTTATACTGTTGGTAGAGTCCAGAGTGTTGATGTTTTATCTGCTGAAGAAGTGAGGAAGGAGAAGTGTAAAGGATGCCACCGTCCAGTGATAACCTGCATTTTTATACAGAAAGATGATTTGAATTATTTTTCTTCAAATTATACATAATAACTTTACCATGAATTCAATAGAATTCAAACTGAGCCTCCATTTAAAGAGGAATATGCTATAACTTTATTAACAACAGTTTCCTTTAAGCCTTATTTCAATCAAAAAATATAATGGTTTATCTTTCTGAAAATTAATCATTACCAATTGTGATTTCTCTTTTTTTCAAATTAGAATATCTTTCTCGATTAAAAGTTAAAAGAGTACAAATGTAAATAGGGCTCGCTACTCTTTGAATGTGTTCAAAAACATCTCGAACCAAACGCTGGGGGGGTTTACTTTTTGTATATTGTAGATATACATACAGGGCTACTCACAAAATATGAGACTGTAAAGACGTCCTAAAACTCACAATATATGATGATTCCATAGGTTATATTAAGACTTCAGTACATAATCTTTAAATGGCTAATTTAATCATTTGACAAAGAAAGAAACACGTTTACATTGGCAGGGAATCGTATATATAAGGAAATATACATAATGAATTCCGTTCAGTCGTCTCTGAAATCTCATCCTTTGTGGGTAACCCTGTACAAGATTTTTTAGAAGAAAATATACTTGAATATTTCTAAATAATTATTAAAATTGGTCTCACCTTATCTTCATGGGTTGCTACTGTTACACTCGGCAAGGATGAAGTTAGATCCCCCTAAAAGAAAAATAAAAGCTTGAAGAAAAATAAAGGATTTAACACTCGCCCACCCCACTCTAAAAGTTTCATGATGTACTGTATATGCATTCATTTCTACGGTCCAGTCTGGACTACCAAGTGTAGTTTTTTTCTGAAGAACACTTGTCAAGAACATTGTTTTTTTAAATTGGAAACTCTAAGTAGTAAGCTGTACAGTGTGATTATTAATTTGTGTTTCAGAATTTAGATATACAAAACCTAAAACTGAATTTACCATAGATTTAACCTTTCCTTGCTATCAAAAACTTTCAAAATCCAAATAGGAAAGTATTGTTTACAATATTTGAAAAAATCTTTATCTATATTCTATAACCAATAACCATCCTCTCAGACATATTATTTTTCTCAGACGTTGAAAACAATATTATTTATTGTTGTAATAATTATATAAAAGATCCCTGGTATTGAAATATATCAATGCTTGTAACTTGAAAGAATTAAACAATCTATCTATAGCATTTATCTTTTAGTGTGCCAAATTATATCTAAAATATAAACCTGTAGATATATAATATAAACCTGTAGATCTATAGTATAAACCTGTAGATCTATAATATATACCTGTAGATCTAAAATATAAACCTGTAGATATATAATATAAACCTGTAGATCTAAAATATAAACCTGTAGATATATAATATAAACCTGTAGATCTAAAATATATACCTGTAGATATATAATATATATCTGTAGATATATAATATATACCTGTAGATCTATAATATAAACCTGTAGATATATAATATAAACCTGTAGATATTTAATATAAACCTGTAGATCTATAATATAAACCTGTAGATATATAATATAAACCTGTAGATATATAATATATACCTGTAGATATATAATATATACCTGTAGATATATAATATATACCTGTAGATCTATAATATATACCTGTAGATATATAATATATACCTGTAGATCTAAAATATAAACCTGTAGATCTAAAATATAAACCTGTAGATATTTAATATAAACCAGTAGATCTAAAATATAAACCTGTAGATTTATAATATATACCTGTAGATCTAAAATATAAACCTGTAGATCTGAAATATAAATCTGTAGATATATAATTTAAACCTGTAGATCTATAATATAAACCTGAAAATCTGTAATTTAACCTGTAGATCTATAATATAAACCTGAAAATCTGTAATATAACCTGTAGATCCCTGTAAATCTGTAATATAAACCTGTAGATCTAAAATATAAACTTGTAGATATGTAATATAAACCTGTAGATCTATAATATATACCTGTAGATCTATAATATAAACCTGTAGATCTAACATATAAACCTGTAGATCTATAATATAAACCTCTAGATCTAACATATATACCTGTAGATCTATAATATAAACCTGTAGATCTATAATATAAACCTGTAGATCTATAATATATACCTGTAGATCTATAATATAAACCTGTAGATATATAATATAAACCTGTAGATCTAACATATATACCTGTAGATCTGAAAGAACGATAGTCCCATCGTAGCTAGCTGAGAGTAAATAGTAGGCATTCGGAGAGAATCGAACACTTCTTACTTCACTACTATGAACCTTTAAATATAAGTCAGTTAGTCAGTTAATCAGTTAATCAGTTTGTCAATTAGTCAGTTAGTCAGTCAATTGGTTAGTCAGTTAATCAGTTAATCAGTAAGACCGTAAGGATATTGTTCACGTAATTTTAAGTGAACCTCAGTTAGTCAGTAAGTCAGTTAGTCGGTTAGTCGGTTAGACGGTTAGCCAGTTAGTCGGTTAGTCGGTTAGACGGTTAGTCAGTTAGTCGGTTAGTCAATTAGTCAGTTAATTCAGTTAGTCAGTCAATCAGTTAGTCAGTTAGTTCAGTTAGGCTTTTAATCAGTTAGTCAGTTAGTCAGTTAGTCAGTTAGTCAGATAGTCAGTTTGTCATTTAGTCAGTTAGTCAGTTAGTCAGGTAGTCAGTTAGTTAGTTAGTCAGTTAGTCGGTTAGACGGTTAGTCAGTTAGTCAGTTAGTCAGTTAGTCAGTTAGTCAGTTAGTCAGTTAGTCAGTTGGTAAGTTTGTCAGTTGGTCAGTTGGTCAGTTGGTCAGTTGGTCAGTTAGTCAGTTAGTCAGCTAGTCAGTTAGTCAGTTCAGTTAGTTTGTCAGTTAGTAAGTTAGGCTGTTAGTCAGTTAGTCAGTTAGTCAGTCAATTAGTTAGTCAATTGGTCACTTAACGAGTTTATCAGTAAGATCGTAAAGATATTGTTCACGTAATTTTAAGTGAACCTCCATTGATAGAGTTACATTCCCACTGCCCAGTCGATTCACAATTGTACACTTTAAACCCCTTACAAATAAGACGGAGATGTCCTTGTTTTTTTATATCTGAAAATTGATAACTTAGATTAAATGGCTTGTAAATCGGACAAGTAACGTAACTCATTAAATGAAAAAGCTTGGGCATTTTAGAATACGTCATAATTCCATTTGACAGCTGTCGGTTAGTTAGTCAGACAGGAATTTTTCGTAAATATTAATTTAATTTTATTTCCTTACCTTCAGTTTTGAGACTGATCTAGCTCCTCGTATATCGTAGAGAACACAGGTAGAATCCTCGTGTCCTACACATATACTTGCATTTAAAGGGGTTGTTCATATTTGAAACTAGCTCAAGTGCCCGGCATTGCCCGAGGTATTTTGAAGAAAA